AATAAACAGCTGTCTGTCTTTACCCGCGTTGTCTGTCTATCAAATTACAGCTAGACATCGAACCTTAGGGAGGTTTCTCCCACCACAAGAGTCTGGTAACTAACCCAATATTTATTAAATGTTAATTATAATAATTGTTGGTGAACCAAAGACTCAAAAGCTGGTGAATGCTAATATTTTGCAGGGAACTGAAATATGAATGTTTGGTTTACTTCAGATCTAGACTTTTTATTAAAAGTCACTCAGGATTCACTCGGGATCTGGACTGACTGTTGCTGCTACAGACATCATTGGAGAGAGTAATAGAAAGTAATTCACCATGCTAGAAGAAACCTTCTGCTAAAGATCACCAAGCAGTAGGGATAGAGTCATTCAGTAGTTTTTTCTTGCAACCCCTGGCAGCAGGGCTGTTGTGAAGACTATGTCACTGTATAGTATGCTATGGCAATGTAGTGATCATGCAAGTCTACATGTGATCACCTGCTACTTCACAATAGTGGCGCGCTCCCTGCTTATAGTGCGCCACTACGACGATGTAACAGGATAAGCATGTGCCACCCCTATATGGCACAGTACCTGCCCATACTGCGCCGTGCTTTAGTACTTTTGAAAGGAAGTACTAAAGCACAATGCTGTAGCAACATTGTCATATGGTGACATGTAGATGAGCCCAATGAGGCTGAAATTTTTGGAAGCTTATTTAGATGCAGACTTTAATGAAACTTGTGCATAAATTTGCTACATAGCTTTGAAAATTGCATCTTAATATCTTTTGGCTGTGAATAATATCCCAAAGAATGTGTGGCAGTGGTTCCGCAAGATGCCTCCCTCAGGTTTATAGCCTGAGGTACATGGCAGAACAGGAGTGGATGAGTGGCACTGGCAACATCTGTCAGTGGCACGCAGCAGATCAGGAAACGAGTACGGAACACAGTGGCAGAGAGCAGAAAAAAAGAACATGAGATTGAGCAGGGAGCAGCAGATCATACAACAAGCATGAGGCAGGGAGCAGAAAGCCAAGCAGTAGATCAGACAGCAAAAGGGGACTGGAGTGGCACTTGGGGAAGGCACTGGGCCTAATTTGTGGCACACTTGCCAAAAAGGCTGGCCCCCACTGATGTAGAAGGCTAATAAGAAAAGGTATGCAGTGCGTGTGCTGGCCACGCTGTCATACAAGCCTTGGGAGCTTATCTGTACACATTAGATTATAGAGATTTACAAAAAGCAAATTGCAAATGTTCAGTTAGTTGAATGCTTTAAGTAGTAGTAAAATGACTGAAAAGCCTGTAGTCATGAACAGATATCTGAATATTCTTGGCCATGATTTTGCCAGTCACTCTTGAATTAAAAAGGTTGAGGCTATATAATGGAATGGCTTAGTGGATATCTTACAGTGTACTTAGGTCCAAGACCTTTAGAAAAGCATCGGTTGCAATTGTATCTCTAATCTCCATTCTAAACCACGTCAATATTCTGATAAAATAAACAAGAATCAAAATACAGAGGAAAGAAAAACACGAGAGAGTATGATGTGGGTAATCTGAGGAAAAAAAGGATGAACTACTAGATTCTTGTATTACTTACTATCCCACTATTTAAAAGAAACATTTTGAGATAAGGCATTGTCACAAGGAAAGCAGTAAAGTTTTGCAATAAATTGTGATAAACAGTAGCTAGTTTTTGCAAATGAGTGTGGTTGCAAACCTCCTAGCAGGCAAATAGAGGGTTGCCTCTCCAGATAACCTTACCCTGAATTCCAAATATTTTGAAAAAAAAACACCCTAAAGAACACCACAGAAATATGCAAGAAAAGCAAGATTAGATTATCAGCATATACCCTGGTAGGATGCCAGGGCCTTCAAAAAAACCCCAAACCTTATCGTTTCAGGGCTACATATTACATGCCAAGATGTCATGTTGCCCTTAGGAGCCAAGAACCTGGTATCAAAGCTATCTTTGTTCTTACTGCAGATATCAGCAAAAGAGCTTTGTTGAGAAAGATAATCATCTGCACTTACTGAATTTTTCATTTTGTATATATATTAATGTTGAATATCATGATGGAGATAAGGATTTCTTTTATTGGACCAACTGTGTAGTTGGGATAAAGTTAGACAAGCTTTCAAAGGCAAGGCATTCATCAGGTCTCTCTGTATAGCAAGGATCCTGGAGCAAAGAATGCCTTGCATTCAAAAGCTTGTCTAACTTTATCCCTACTACATAGTTGGTTCAAAAAAAGACATCACCCTAAGAAATCCTTGCCTCTTGCATAATTTTTGGACTACCATGGCTACAACATCACTCTTACACTAACAAATATAATGATGCAACACTCCAGGGTTTTTTTAAGCCCTTGAAAACCTTTTTTTTAAGTAGCCAATGCCAATTAATGCATAGGTTGTGGACAATTAAATCTTTGTTCCAGAAGATGTATTGCCTAAACACCTGTCTCTCAGAATGATTCCTGTAAATCTGGGTGGAGAACATCTGGCAGCTTTGGACTCCATAGGAAAAGTAATACATTTACATAATATAATTATGGAGGACAATGGAAAATATGAAGAGCCATACCATCACTCTAACCAGAAAAGGAGCACAGACCTTGTTATTAAACGATTAAGTATAGCACTTGTGGGGTGTGACCTGGTTTATATTGAGCAAGAGGCTATTCTGAAGTGAAACTAGCCATAAAAGCAGGCACAGAACGTGCTTTCTCCAGTAGAACACACGTGCTACGCATTGCCTAGCGGAGATGTTCAGAGGAGGAGGTCCTTTCACTTGGGACTGTAAACATACTTTTCCTTACTGCTTGTTCTTTTTTCTCTTGAATGCCCTAGAGTTGCATGTAAAAGACACTGCAGCAGGTCTGGCTCTCAAGAGATCCCACGTGTACAGGAGCTGATGAATTATCTAACAAAGTGAACTGCATTGTACAAAAGCTCATGTCTCTCTAATTTAGTGTGACCCTGCCTTCTGCTTAACTTCAGACTAACCTACTTAACCATCTCACTCTGCAGCAGGGGTGTCAAATTTATTTGGATGAGTGACATGGGGCTGGATTGGGCCAATAGGCCCAAAGACACTGCCCCCATGCTGGATTAATTGCCCGTGGAGCCACCCAGGATGAACGGCTGGAGCGGGTGCTGTGCTACATGCGGTGCCTGCTGCAAACTGGGCCACACATCCAGGATCTGTGCTATTCCAGGGCCTGCTGCAGCCAGTCCCGGAGCCACGTTGTGTGCGACACCCGCGGGCACCGCATGCAGCACTGGTCCCCGGTTGACCGGAGCAGACATACATGGCACGTACCCTGGGCCCTGCCTGTGGGATTGATCCAGGTCAACTGAGACCTACGGGCACCCCTGGGGGCTGCATACGCTCGACACCCCTGATTTATAGGCTGTGCCAGATTATGACATGCTGAGGCCTTAAACTATGTCCACTTGAAGAGGCCCCATATGATAAAAACAGGAACAAATTCTTTACGGTGAAAGTTGCCAAAATCTGGAACGGGCTTCCAAGAGAGGCAGTGCTTTCCCCAAACTTGGAAGCGTTTAAAGGAGATTAGACAAGAACCTGGCTGGGGTTGCTTAACCCCAGCGCTCTTGCCTGCCCGGAGCAGGGGCTCAGACTCGATGACCTAACAGGTCCCTTCTGACTCTAGAAATCTAGGAAATCTACGAAAAATAATTCACAGAAACAGATTTTCATGAAACGTGAAAATGAATCATTGCAAAAACCTAGAATTCTCGGTTCAGAAACGCGACCTTTTATTAGACCGACGGAGACATTGCAAGAAAATAAAAATTAAAATAAAAAATAAATCTTTTTTTCTGCAATGTCTCTGTTGGTCTAATAAATGCAAAACTTCTTGGTTCCAAAATGTGACCTTTTAATAAGCCTTTTTTTCTGCAATGTCTCCATCAGTCTAATAAAAAGCCATGTTTTGGAACTAAGAATTTCTGCACTTATTACACCAACGAAGACGTTGCAAAAAAAATCATTAAATTTAAAATTTATTTATTTATTTATTTTTTTGCAATGTCTCCAAATGCAAAAACTCTTGGTTCCGAAATGCAACCTTTTATTAGACTGACGGAGACATTGCAGGAAAAAAAATATTTTTGATTTTTTTTTTCTGCAACATCTCCATCGGTCTAATAAAAGGTTGCATTTTGGAACCGCAACTTTTCATGTTTCTTTTCATCTCGGACCAACATGGCTACCACACACGCCCCTGAAAGATGAACGGTGGTTATTTTGGTGCAAATTTAACTGTGGAGCCCTAGATATGCATGTTCTTGTCATATTAGAATAAAAACATCCAGTTTTTTGGACTTATTTAGAGGCCCCTCATCTTGCGAGGCCCTACCATGTCGCTTACGCCTCATTCCAGCACCGTTTATAGAAATCCTCGGTTTCAAAATCGAGGCCACCGGGGAATGTGGCGTTCCCGCTAGCACCGCGCTCAAGGCAGCAGTTGGAGCATGCCCGGCGGCTGTTATTTGGCTGAGCCCGGCCCGACCTGCTGGGCCACGTCTACATGCTGGAGACCGCTGGTGAAGCCTGGGACCAGCACTGACCGTGATGGTGGAGAGCCACGGGCCTGGCGTGCTCCACACTGAGGAGACGCCTTCACACCACCTCGCTCCCCTCACGGCACAAAATGGCGGCCGTCCGCACGTGCATGGCTCCGCCCCGCACTCTCCTACTGCTGATTGGGCGGGCGAGGTTTGTTGCGTCACAACAAGCTCATGCGCTTTGGGACGTGTCGGGCCGCGCCTGCGCAGTGTGCTCCCGTTAGTGCCGAGCGGCGCGCGGGCAGCAGCGTCCTGCGGGGCCGGCGCGGTGAGTGCGGGGCTGCGGGAGGGGGGCGAGGCGGGCCCGTGAGCCGCGGGGGGGTGGTTGGGCTGCGGTGGGGGGGCTCCCCCACCTGAATCTTAAAAGATTGAAACGAAAATCTGATGAAGAAACAGCAGCCCTGACTTGCAGTTGCTTGAATGCAAACGGCCCAGGGGGCCTCGGCCTGCACGCGGGGCTGGGAAGCCCCTGGCTCAAGCTGTCGGCCTTGTGGAGACCGAGACGCCGGAGTAGGTGCAGCCACGTTGAGCAGCGTGCGTTTTTGGTTGGTCTGTGACACGTGCAGTGGCCTTGCACGCATCTCCTCAGAGACCCCTTTGGGGAAAGGGTGTTCCCAGGGGCGCCCACGGCTTGTCCTGTGATTAACACCCCCCTCCCGTGCCCCTGCACGGTCAGCGTGCATCTCTGTGTGTGCGTGTCAGCGTGCATCTCTGTGTGTGCGTGTCAGCGTGCATCTCTGTGTGTGCGTGTCAGCGTGCATCTCAGTGTGCGCATCTACTCGGTCAAGGTTTATCACGAACTCGCTACGTCGGGATGTTTTCTTCTAGCACAGGTATTGCAGCGAGGCCCGCCTCTCACATGCCGTTTTAAAACTGTCCCTGCTTCTCTCAAAACCTCACTGCTGTTGTAGCTCCTTATGTCACTTCAAATATTTAAATAGGAAAAGAAACCACAGGGTTGGGGTTTTTTTGGCTGTTTGTTTGCTTTGCCATCCAGTCTGACACCGTCAGTTTTTACGCCAGGTACAAAGCCAGAGCGATTTAGGGAGTGTTCAGGATTTCTTTTGGGACGCTCTTGAGTACGGGCGAGGAGGTTTTTGTTATGCTACGTTTAGCCTTTGTAATCCTGTAAAAATGTATTTATTGATTGTGCTTAATTTCTACACACCCAGGATTAAACAGGCTGCTGGAAGACATGTTGTTATGGTAGGGTTTAGGTCAGCAGTGGGCAAAATACAGGCTGCAGGTGGGATCTGTTCCACCAAGGGATCCTGTCTGACCCACACCCTGCCTGGCCGAGGTTTGGGGGCAGCCTGGGTCCAGCTGGTCCTGCTGCTCCCGGGTGCATGGCAGGGCAGGGGCAGTGCAGTGGCTAGACTCAGCTTCCTGGCAGCCCCTGTGAAAGTGGCTCCTTTTGGCTGCCACTGCCAGCGTCATTGCTGCTGCCGGCCCTGGCCCTGTTGTTTGGGCACCCCAGTCCATCTACCCTGCACCCACTGCAGGGGCACCAGATGGGCGGGTGGGCAGGCAGGGTCTCCATGGACACTGGCCCAGGACCCCTGTGTGCAGAGTGCACTTGGCTGGGTGGATGGGTTGGGGCCTCATGCTGGCGTGGAGTTGGGTCCTGGGGTCGGGATCACAGGGTAGTGACAGCATGGGGCTGGGGCCGAGCTGCAGTTTGCTTCCTGCATGTCCCTGTGATGGGTGTCAGTTGCACAGGCAGGGACATGCAGGGAGCGGATCACAGCTCTGCCCCAGGTCCTGGTCCCTACCCACCGTGAACGCTGCTCCCTGTCTGCCTGGGGCCCCATTCCATCCACCAGCTGAGCATGCCCTGCCTGGGGGGGTTCCTGGCTGGTCTCCATGGAGACTGTGCCCACTGTCTGGTGCCCCCAATGGTAAATGAGGAGTGGATAGGCCTGGGGCCACACAGGACTCCTTAAGTGGCTCTCCAGCCCAAATAATTGCCCAGTCCTGGTTTAGCTAGTAACAGAGTTTTAATTTGCGTGCATAACTTTTAAGAAACTTGCAGTCATTTTAGATGAAGAAAACACCCCTGATGTTTTGCCTTGGGGAGATGAATTTCTGAATAAAACAGTCCGTGCCACATACCGCTTCTGATAAATGGCATAGCATAGCTTTTGGTGAAGATGCATGGCAAGTTGTTAGGTGATCGAATACTTGGTAGACTTGAAATATCCAGCTAGAGTGAGTTGGATCTGGAGATTTCTTATTAACTAAAGAGAAAGTAGACATCTCTTTCATTATTTCCACCATTGTTTGCCATTGAATCTCCGAATCAAGTTTTATTAAGTCCATGAATCTTCAGGTGTAATGATCTTATGTTTTTCAAACTTTTGTAAGCCATTGGGCTGTAACAGTTTGTGCAATATCTCTTTGGGCATGCCTGTTTCCAAAAGCTGTTTTAACATGGCAATTATTAAACACCTGTTCATGTAGTACGGTTAGCAATTTGCTTCCACAGACGGCTTCCCATAAGTCCTTCTTGTGGTGTACAATAGGCTGAGCTTGCCCAGCTCTGCATTCTTTCCCGGGTTGGTGCTTGTGTCACTACCAGGAGCTTTGAAGAAATCTCCCATTTGAAATTAAAATGGCTTTACGTTTGCATTCCTTTGATTCTGTACTTGCTCAATATTTTACCATGCAGCAATATAAGTCAAATATTTAGTCTGATTAGAGTAAGAAGTAACTGTTAAATGTAAAATCAAAACAGTTCAACATAATAGTATTTGCACTTAAATGACAATTTAGTCTGTGAAGTGATCTAAACTTTATGCAATTATCAGTCATTGGCAGTTGGATCTTACATTTTGTAAGTTCGGTTGGGTTTACCTTAGCCTCTTACTTTGTTTTGTTTTCTCAGCATAATAGTGGATTTGCTGCATTTAACACAATAATTACGTATGTTTTAATTTATATTTAAGAATGCTTTTTTCCCCCTTAATTGGTCACATTTCTGTTTAGATGGCATTATCTGATTTATTTATTGTGACCTTAGTTACCTGATGTGAAGCCACTGGGACAACAGGGGTTCTTTTACTGAAAGCTTCAGGCACTTTCTGTGTATTTTCCCGTAATTATGCCTGTGACATACAAACACAAACCATTATTAACTGAAAAATTTTTTAGATAAATCTTTACTGTAAGGTTCTCAGCGTATTCAATAAGAGGAATTTATTTTATCATGACTTACAGTTTGTGGTTATCTTAAGTATCTGGTTGTTATAGTTACTCAACTGAAATCTTTGTGAAACTCAGGAGCCCACATTCAATTAAAATTTTACTAAGCAAACCACCAAAGATGAAATTGTAGGACTTTTTTAACACAGCCTTAAATTACATGAGTATTTTTAGGGAAAGTTGACTACAAATCTAATAATTGACTTAAGGAACTAGTGGTGTTTTTTTTATTTTTTTGGAGGTTTGTTTTTTTTTTTTCAAACCTAGCAATGATGGGACAAATAATAAAGTACTGAAAATAGGACAGAAGGGATGAGTCAGGGTTTAATGTTTTCCAGAAACATAATGCATCATGAGAGGGTACTTTTGTGATAGCATACAACTGTTTTATTGATCTGATTATAGGATTTCTTAATGCTGTTTAAAAATGGAGGATATTGAACCACCAAAATCTTACAATGGAGGGGTCTAATTAGATGAGTAAAGAGGAAAAGGGATGGGGAATTGTGTGGTTGCTCTCCTTCCCATGTACCTAGTGACTTCAGTACTTCATGTGACTTTCATTTACATAGTTCAAATGGCATTTTTTTTTTCTGTACCTATGCTAAATAAATAAGAGCACTAACAAGTGCTAAGGAGTTGTTTTCTCTCCTTTATGCAGTTTTGCCTCTACTCTTACTTGCAACATTTGTTCCTTACTTTTATGGTTAGCCTTCCTAGTTCCCTTCTTATGTGAAATTTGCAGTATGAATGAGCACTTTTATGATAATATGATGACACACTCAACCTTACTTCCACCATAGTGTAGGATGTTATAGAAGAAGCCTCAAGGAAGGCCAAGTTTGACAGTATTGTCAGTTTCTTACTCTACCTCTTCACTGTTGCACTGGAATCTTGGCATTCATTTTTAAACTCAGGTTTTTGTGGCATTTTATCTAGAAGGAAGTGAAAGCGGACGGATGCTTGTGAGTGCTCCATGGCTGCATCTCCCTCGATTTGCTCATCTTCTACCCACTATAACGTGGAACTGTTCTTTGGGTAAGAAAGCTGCTTAAAAAAGACTTATTATATCTAAGTTGGTTTGAATTGCCTGCACATTGTCCGTTCGGGGTTCTTTTTTCTGTCAGTTATCTTGTACAAAGATTACTGTACTGTACTGCAATTGATAACATTTTGGAAGATGACTGTTTGCAAGACTGGGTGTGCACAAGTAACACAAGGTTACTGTAACTGAAAGACACTGATATTTTAAAAGCTAATTTGCTGGATGCGGTCTATAAATCCTATATTTTTGGTTTCTTAGCATGCGACAAGCATAGCTCCCCACTCTTCGACTCTTATCAGTGTGAGCAGAGCAGTACTGTTACCTGCCTGGACATGAAAGGCTTCTGTCTCCCATTTCCACCATGCTTTACAGCTTGTGGTGTTTTGATGATTTTGGCATTTAATGTATCCGTTTAATCTTTGATTATGTACTTGGTGTTAACTGGAAGCAGAAATTAGGACAAGGGCCATAGAACTCAAAGATCTCTGCTCACAAAAATATTTCCTAGCCCCATGGGTTGGGACTAATAGTTTTTCAATGTTGCTCTTGGTTTAATTCAAATATTGCATTGTAAAGTACCTACTGAACTGGGTTTGATTTTAAATGGAGCAAAACAGGCAAATAGTCATTACACTTTATTCCAGAAGAGCCAGTTGTACCTTGTCATTTTGCTACAGCTTTTTATTCAGATTTCCTCAAGTGATATCTCAGACCTTTGTAACTGAATCTGGAGGCTTAGTTTCATTATTGGAACTTCATTTGTCACATGGACATGGGAGAAAATCCTACCTTGTGACCCTGGTGTATTGCAGAACATCCGCTTTGATCCCAGAGGAGGCCTTATAATTGAGCATAAAGCATAGATTATGACATTGGAACTAAATTATCAACTTTTTTTTTTTCTTAGATTGAAGTGATTTCAAGTTGCATGAATGAATCTTGTTTGAAACAAATTACAGATTTCTGTAAAATAAAATTATTAAATGACCAAACTGATATCCAAAGTGGTCATCCCCAGCTTATTGCCGCTTCAGTATTGAGCAAGTATGTTATGTGCAATATACTTTGCTCCTCCTGTCACCTGAAGAAAGCAAAATTTTCTTCAGCTGCAAGCAAGGTTAGTAGGTCTCATGGGCAACGTAGCCTGAAAACTACAGGTTAGGAACCACTGATCTGAAGCAGCAGCAGCAGATCTGAGACATGAAACCAGTCTCTTTCTGTACATAAAGCTGTGCCAGTAATTGACATGCACCAATACTGAATGGCTTGATACATACTAAAAAGTGTAGGTACTGTTCATCATATAGATCAGGGATGGGCAAAGTCCAGCCTGCAGGCCAGATCCAGTTGGCAGTGAACTCCGTTTCCCAGCTGCCCCTGCACATGGCTGGGGCGGTCTCCCTGGAGACTCCAGCGGCAGCTATTGGGACAGTTCAAGGCTGGGGTTGCCATAGAAACCAGCCACGCTGGCAGAGCCTGCAGCAGGGCAGGGTTGTCGCTGCTTCAAGAAGCCGAGGCATAGCCGCGATCCCCTGCTTGCACATCCCTGCCCAGAGCATGTAGGCTACAGATCATGGCTCTTTCCTGGCTCCAGAGCAAAGTGTCCCCATCGCAAGATCCCAGCAGCTCCGGAGCAGGCCCCTACCCTGAGGGCTGCCACTGGTCTCCATGGCATTCCCAGCCTTGAGCTTCCCCCCCCTACTGCTGGGGTCTCCATGGAGACCGGCCCCAGCCATGCAGGCTGAAGCTGCTGGGAAATGGAGTCCGGCTATTGGCCAGATCAGCCATTTTGCCCACCCCTGATATAGATGATTTATTATCCAAGGATCTAGCTCTAAATCATAAATGAACAAGGTCACTGTTGTAACTGAAGTTCTGAATAGTTCCAAAATGGAGGATATTGGTTCCAAAATGGTAATACCTTGGGACCTTTCCAGTAGTCAAGTTGTAGATTTCAAATGATAGTGTTTCATAAAGCTAACTTGATTGTCATTCTGGTTAACCTGGAACCTTTAAGTGCTGAGTGCTCTATTCATAACAGCCTTAGTTTGGAAATTCAGCTCAATTCTTCATATGAGTTTCCCAGATTTTGCAGATCAGCTTTTCTTTGGTCAATGATTTCACAGGTCAGTTCATCTTCTGGGACCCCTCCCTGCCTTCTGGTTAAGGAATCCTTTCACGTGTACAGGATGAATCAGAAATGGGATGGATGTCCAGACACCAGAAAAGTGCTGGTGTTAGACAGGAACTTCCACATTCTTTGGAGGTATGTGTGCATGTGCACCTCTGACTCAAGGCTACCTTTGTATCACCTGGAAAGTAGACCATAACTTGCTTCAGTTGCAGAAATGTATTATATTTTAAGCTATGTAAGAAGTGGTTGTGTACATAATCAAAATTATATATGCTGTGAACCTTGCAGGGATCCAAAATAAAGGTTTCTGTTTTTAACATAGGGCATTGTCAAACTCCCTACCTAGGCTCAAGAGGTAAGATGGACAATTATCTGTGTAAGCTGCCTTTCATACATGCATTATTGACCTTATAGTAGCCCAAAGTAGATGGAATAATTCAAAGATAGAATGAGCATATAGACTGGCTTCTGCTGAAATAGCCAGCAAAATGTCAATCATGATCTGGTCACTTAATCTTTAGTAATTAGGCCTTTGACTTGTTTAGGGCCAGACTGATTTACATCTCCTCAGGCAGGGATAGGGATACATGGTGCTCAAACACTTACATCTCCTCAGGCAGGGATAGGGATACAGGGGGCTCAAACCCCTCCACTCCCCTTACCACTTCTGTGTAGCCAGTAACCGTGTGACATCCAGAAGGAAAAACTTCCTGCTCTGACTGCAAATTCGGAATAGCTTGTCTGAAAGAGAGCAGAGAAGACTTGTGCTAAGGAGCATGCTGTATGTTTCGTAGATGTTAGGGTTGGAAGGGACCTATTAGATCATTGAGTCCAACCCCCTGCCCCGGGCAGGAATGAGTGCTGGGCTCAGATGACTCCAACCAGGTGTCTGTCCAATCTCCTTTTAAACACCTCCAAGGAAGGGGACAGCACCACCTCCCTTGGAAGCGTAGTCCAGATTTTGGCAACCCTCACTGTAAAGAATTTTTTCCTGATGTCCAGTCTGAATTTGCTCTCTTCCAGTTTGTGGCCATTATTTCTAGTTACCCCGACAGGCGCCCTGGTAAACATTGTATCCCCTACTCCCTCCCCCCCCCCCGCCCCCCCCCCCCCCCCCCAAAAAAAAAAAAAAAAAAAAAAAAAGAGTTTGTATAGGCAGCCATGAGATCGCAACAGGAGACAGAGGTGGAGTCTGAAGAGGTTCAGGTCTCCCAATCTGTCCACATAGGGTTTTTTCTGTAGGCCTTTAACCAGACAAGTGGCCCTCCTCTGAACCGTCTCCAGGCCATCCACATCCCTCCTGAAGTGCAGCGCCCAAAACTGGATGCAGTACTCCAGCTGCAGCCTGACCAGTGTCGCATAGAGGGGGAGCATCACCTCCCTGGACCTGTTTGTGATGCACCTACTTATGCAAGAAAGGGTGCGGTTAGCTTTACTTATTACCTCATCACATTGGTGACTCATGTTCATTTTGGAGTCGACTATGACTCTGAGATCCCATTCTGCAGTTGTGATGCTTAGAGTGGTACCTCCCAGGCTGTAGGAGTGTTGATGATTCTTCTTCCCCAGGTCCAATACATGACACTCATGCTTGTTGAACTGCATCCTATTCTGTTCCGCCCACTTCCCCATCCAGGCCAAATGTGTCTGGATTCGCTCCCTGCCGTCTAGTTTGTGTACCTCCCCCCATAGTTTGGTGTCATCAGCAAACTTGGATAGGGTGCTTTCTACTCCCTCGTCCAAGTCACTAATGAAGATATTGAATAGTACCGGTCCCAGGACAGAGCCTTGGGGGACTCCGCTGCCCACATTTCTCCAGGTAGAAACCGACCCGTCCACAACCATTCTCTGGGTGCGTCCCATAAGCCAATTTTCTACCCACTGGACTGTGTAATAATCTGCACCACTACTGTTTAGTTGATTTATAAGAATTGGGAGTGACACTGTGTCAAAAGCCTTTTTAAAATCTAAGTAAATAACATCTACCTCTATTCCTTCATCCAAGCATTTTGTGACCTGGTCGTAAAATGAAACCAGGTTAGTCGGGCAGGATCTGCCTGCTATGACCCCATGCTGATTGCCCCTTAGCATCATTTTACCCGCTGGTCCCCCACAAATGTAGTCCTTAACGATTTTCTCAAAGGTCTTGCCAAGGATAGAGGTAAGACTAACTGGCCTATAGTTACCCGGTTCCTGCTTCCTCCCCTTATTGAAAATAGGGACCACATTGGCCCTTTTCCAATCCTCCGGGACCTGTCCTGAGCACCACAAGTGGTCAAACAGTTGTGCCAGCGGCTCTGCTATGACTCCAGCTAATTTCCTAAGTACCCTAGGATGAAGATCATCAGGACCTGTTGACTGAAATACATTCAGCCCCTCCAGGTGCCCCTTTACTAGGTAGCTCAAACAGTTGCTGGGTTGGTATCTATACTGGGCTTACCTAAGGTCCCAATGGGATGCGTATTTGTATTTGTGTCCAGAAACGCGGATGCAGAGAAATCTGGCCATCCTATCTGTTACCAGTTGCCCAAGTTCATCCTAAAGAGACCCTAAGTTACCCTGCACCTTCTTTTTGCTTCTTATATACTTAAAGAATGACTTTTTGTTATCCTTAACTTTTGCTGCCAGCCTAAGCTCCATTTCTGCTTTGGCTCTCCTCGCTGTTTACCTGCAAACTCGAGCCAAGCAGGTATACTCTGTGGTGGCAGCCCCCTGCTTCCACAGCCTGTAGGCCTCTTTTTTTTCCCTCCAGGCTCTCCTGGATTTCCCTGCTCCACCAAGAGGGTTTCTTTTCTTTTGCCCCTTTTTATGTGTACTGGGATGGTCCTTTTCTGTGCCTGCAGGATTAGTCCCTTGTTGGTCTAACCTAGTAGATGGTGCAAAGTGTATGCTTGCTGCATGCATGGAAGAGATTGTGTCAGAAGGTGCAGTCTTTCCAGTGTAACAAATATGGGAGCCCCCTGAATAGCATTGCTATAGACACAAGAGCTACCACCACATGACAGCCTTGTTGCTGCTCATTGAAACTAGTTTCCATCAGTGGTTTCTACAAGTCTAGTTTCTAAATCTTGCATGCACTTATTTACATTTACTTGGGACTAGAAATGGCGGAGATGTTTAAGCAGTTAGGGTAGGATGCATGTTTACCCTCCTCTATAAGCATTTTAATCTTAACCTTGTTTTCAGTTCTTCCACTTACTCTGGAAAAGGTTTTCAGGAATAAATTGTATGGGGTTGACTTTCTTAAAAAGATTCTGGCTAATTGGACGGTGACCAGATCCTCATCCCTTGTAAAGTAAAGTAAGATGAAAGGATTTAAAGCAGCTTCAAGGCTAAAAGGGATCTGTAGAGGTCACCTATTCCATTGATCTGCCCCAAGACAGGATCAACTATACCTAAACTATTTCTGACACATTTTTCTAGCCTACTTCTAACATACTCTAGTGTTGTAAATTGCGTGATTTCTCTGCATAATCTATTCCACAACTGAACTGCCTTCTTGGGAAGTTTTCTAATATCCAGCCTGTATCTTTAGTTGTAATTTAATCCTGTTTCCATGTGTTCTGTTCCAGTGAATCCAGGAAGCAGTTTATGGCCTCTCTCTTTTTTTGCAGAATTTTTTTTTTTTTACAGATTTGAGACTTGAGTCTCCTTCTGTACATGGTATATATAAAAAGCGTTTGCTGGCTTAAGTGCTACCATATATGTATTCACTGGCTAAAAGAAACTATAAAACTCTTGAACTTCAAGGACAAAGACAGTCCTATCTTACATGGGGGAGTTCATGTGTTTTCCAGATGTAGTTTTGTTGATAAGCAAAACCACATTCTTTCTCTTGTTGAGGTTGGCTATCAATAACTTCTTATAGTATCCTGCAAAACTGACATTTAAATCTTTCATTAAAAAATGGCTCTTTTTATACTTGACTTTGTTGGAAAAGTTTTTGCCATTCATAGTTTGAATACGTGATCTATGGCTCACTTCTGTAGAAGATAGCAGCGACTTCGTGAATTTTATGTGGTTTGTGGTTTCTTTCCTGTTTAGTACACACACAAACAATCAGTATATAATGGGGACTGATCCATACAGCTCAATATATTTTTGAATTGCACCATTTTTCACACGAATCTTGGAGTCATATTTGTTCCCTTCCAAAAGAGATGCCAGGACTGACCTCTGTGTAGTTGGATTAATTATCTGATTTCCGTAATCTCGTTTTTCAGTGTGTTATGTGTTAAATATTTAGAAATAGGCAATGCAATTTTGGGAGCCGGATGCAATGCCATAATTTTTCATGGTTTTCCTGTTAAGGGAAGCTGTAAGGAGTTTTGTGTTCTTCATGATGTATTTTTGGCCCTACATGACACTTCAACATTTTATTTATACTTTTTCTGTTGGAAGCCTGAAAGCCACATGCCATATTCAGACCTCTGCTTGCAGAATCCTACTTGTATAACCTAAATTCTTCCTGAAGTTTCACTGTCTACAGCAAATGAAAGGAGAGCAGGGTGGCACATTACAGACCAACTTGTTCAGAAATGTATAAGCTTTCATAGGCAACAGCCTACTTTGTCAGATGCTAGGAATATATTTGCAGAGAGCAGGAGTACTATAACAAGTGAATCAGTTTTTTTTCTTTTAGACCTTTGCACCTCTAGTTTACAAACAGATTGCATTTCTCTAGCTCAGGCAGTTACCTTTAATCCTTACTTCTCAACTAAACTGATGTTTGTAAGCTTGTTGCAAGGCTTGTCACTTCTATGAAGCGTATGCCACACCTGTGTTTTGTAAAGATATGGGATCGCTGCCTATGTAGCTTTTTGAGGGCGAGCTCATTGCTTCCCTCCATTTCCCCCTCAGAAGCTTACTGCGTGCTCCATTCCTCTTTCCTTCTCTTTCATGGGTGCACTACAATGCCCTTACTGTCCCCATGCCAGATACTCAACCATACCATCATCCTCCACCCCCCCCTTTTTTTTTTCTTTGCATGCCAGGGGCTTTGTTTAGACCATTTTCCCTCCACTGTTATGTATCTTCCTTTCTGGAAGGTAATGCTTTGACTCTAAAATGGCTTAACTTTCCTGAGAGAAGGTGCAGAGATGAGCGGGTTTCTTACTGTTAATGTTGGTCTGTGCTTGTATCAGCCGGTCTTCTGAGCTGTGGACACCTGCAGAAGTGTTTAAAGCTGTAGCTCTTGTAAGCAGATGGCTGAGGTTCTTTGTATTTCCCCAGAACCGATAGTTCTTCTGAAAGACATCTAAAATATTTCCTGAAAGTTTGGAATTGACTGGTTAGTGCTCAAAAGCAGCCTGTATCTGTAATGTCTAATATCATGTAGGAGCCTTACAAACTCTGCTGGTAGTAAACCAGAAATGTAAAATGTTGGTAATTGCTTGTCTGGTACCACTATGCTAACTGAAGAGTCTTTAATAACCTTAAAACGGTATTTCAGAAGCGTTGAAGTTTTGGGTCATCCATGATTCAAAAACCATATCCTGAAATCAAAAGCTCTTCTCTTTGCCTAATATTGTTAGTGGGCATCAGGGGTGTGTTGCCTTGCTCCCTAGTGTGGTAATACCATGTGCTGTGTGCCTTTTTTAAGGAAAGCAGGTAACGGCTGTCCCTTGAATTGGACTTCTTTTCACAAGCTGTTATGCAGCGCAGGAGCGATACTTTTCCATGCTGCAAAATCCTGTGACACGTAGGATGTAAATAGACCTCTTACTTGAGGTTGGCCTGATTTGTTCCGGGGATTGACCTGGATCAAAACAGGCATGACTCAAGCTAATCGTTTATACACATCACCCTTTCAATGTGCATTACTGCTTCTGTGCCAGCGCGTGGTGCGTCAGAGCCTGGCGGTGACCTGCCGTAGCCTTGGGGACACAGCCTTGTTCCCAGAAAAAGCATTAGCACATTTTATCCCTTATTCTTCAGAGGGACTTGAAGCAGGACAATGGGCTTATACATCTGTAAGATCCCAGGACGAGGAGCTTTCTCATGGGACAAATGCAAGATCTTGCAGCCTTCTGTACTGACCAAGCCTATGGGACAAACTTGGCATAGCATTTAGCAGGTTCATCATTGCGTTTGAAAAGAAAGAGAAAGTATGAATAGGTGGTATGCCTCAAATGATGATGAAAAGAAATCTGGTTTAATAAATTGATTTGGGGTATTGGTTTGGGCCTGCTTAATTGCAATAGTTAGACACTCTAAGTTTATTTGAAGTATAAATTTACACACATGGAATACTTAAAATATTATGGGAAGAAACTACCCTTAAATAGCTATTGGATCTGGGGAACTTGTTCTTGTTGAGTGCAGTCTTATGTAAAATAAATAAAATCCTTACTGTAGTTTGGTTGTGTCACAGCACAGACTTATTTTATGGTAATTGACTGTACTTGACTTTGTTAACATGGCATCTTTTTTTGATCTTCTGTACTTTCTAGAGACCTGCAGTACTTGAAAACTTTCCGAAAGCTTTGTAATTTGAGTACGTCAAACCGTTGCAGTACCTGAGATTGTTTGCTTTCAAAATGAAGAGAACCAGGCAGGCAGTTAAAGCTGAGTACCCAGTTCTTCAAACAGAAGAAAAAACAAAAAAACAAAGGACCTGTTTTTATGGACCAGTATTTAGCAAGTCACACATGCAAACTTTGGACTGGGGAAGCCTCCCACATCACATTCTTTTATGCATTTTTCAGTTTCTGCCTTTAGTAGATCGTGCATGGGCATCTTCTGTTTGTCGAAGGTGGAATGAAGTTTTTCACATTCCTGACCTCTGGAGAAAGTTTGAATTTGAGCTTACCCAGTCTGCTACTTCTTACTTAAAGTCTACTCACCCTGATCTCATTCAGCAAATCATCAAGAGACATGCTAATCATCTGCAGTATGTCAGCTTCAAGGTAATGCGGATCCATTCTCTCGTTTTATAGGAGAGCTGTGTTTGGCATTCTGTAAGTTGTTTGGCTGCAGAATAGCATCCTAAACAGATGTGTTGGATGTATCTTTTTAAAAAGAAAATAGTATGAATCTTCCGAGTTACTTGCTCAGATATCTTCCAAAAATGACTGCTTGGAATGTTTTTTTTGTTGTTTTTTTTTTTAAATGGTGGTCACTATTTCGTGGGTATGAACAATATTAGCTTCATATAACTTTCCTATTTTTCATTTGCATTTTGTTCTCTGACTGTTAGATGAGAGCTCTAAAGCAATAGTATTGCTATTATATTGCTATAAGAAATAGCTATCCTCTCACTCTGTGAGAAGATTACAGCACAGATATGTCATTTGAAATTCCCTATAAGATTAATATTACATATTTTGTCCCTGGTACGTAATCTGATATTAGGGACACTAAGACATGCACAGACACATCCTCCATTGCTGACAAGGAGGAGGTCATATTTTATAACTCTTACGTGTAGAAAAATGGAAACAAAGATACTAGGATTCCCTCTACTCTAGTTATCCAATTGCCAAGTGCATTCCAATTATATCAAAGAGTCCTACTGCTTTGAAGTTCGTCATGAAAAGGACAAAAGTGAGTATAAGATGCAATACTTGTATGTCAAGGTGAAAGAAATAGTGACAACTAAGAAACAGTACGGTCATTTTTATTTATGAAAGGTGATTTTCATGTTTTCAGAGTACTCCCCTAGCTTGGATTTACCTTTACTGAACCACTTAATTGTTAACTCTAAATAGCTTTTGAGACATTTCATAAATAGTGGAGTCTGCGTTGGAATATTTCTAGGGGAACTCAGGTTTGTAAGTGGGCTTTCTTACAAGGATGAGTTTGTGCAGAATGATCCTCTCTGTGGAAGGGATTACTGTCAATGCCAGGATTAAATCTGGAAGTTCCTGCCCCCAGTACTCTTGCTAATCTTCTTCCGTAATTGCATTCTTAGATTTTATGATCCAGTTCTGTAGCTGACCCGTAGTTAACACTTTAATTCATCACTGAGTACTGCCCTTAATATATAATCATTCATTGCATCCAGTTATGGTGTAAAACACACTGGATATCTTGGGCCTACCCAGCAGGAGGACTTCACACTCTTACTTTTTGGAGAAAATGAGATAGGTGAAGTGATCTACTCAGGGTCACTTAGCAGGCTCACATTGGAACTGACAATAGAGTCCAGGTCTCTGGAATAACCTATTCGCTGCTCCAGCCCAGGGCTAGCCAACAGGTGGCTCACAAGTGGTTAAATTCTGCTTATCTTTGTTATTTTTAAAGAATAATCCACTTAAATCTAAGTCAAAGTTGGTAGGTACAAGGAAGAAAAATCAGTTCTTAATTTCAGACAAACTCATCATTTTGTGTGTGTGCAAATAGAGACATTAAGCAAGAGGAAACGGATAGATAAGGCAAGGCAAAGATAGATGGGGTGTTAAGCTTAAGCATCATAACAGGACTGTCAGAACAGTTTTGGATAATCACACATTGTAGTACCCCCTGCAGGCAAAAATTTCTCATGACCTTTTCCTCCCTTCAGAATTACCACTTTGTTTGTTACAAGATGCATAAAATTTAAGGGGATACAGAGCAACTTCATACACACTCTTCAGTGTCATAAGTGTTGTGCACGTATGTTTGTAATTTCCCCTTCCTCCCACCCCAGGAAAAAACAATAACATTTACTTGGGTTTTAAAATGTCGTTTAGGTTGATAGTAGCACTGAGTCAGCAGAAGCAGCCTGTGACATCCTTTCACAGTTGGTGAATTGTTCTATCAAGACATTAGGTTTGATTTCAACTGCCAAGCCAAGCTTCATGAATGTCTGCAAGGTAATATTTTATGCGCTTTTGAATGTTTATACTGTATATAAACTATTAATAAGCTATTTGGGTATTATTACATTGAAAAGCTCTCATTGACTCACCTAAATTACACACAATACAAATTTTTATCAATCCGGTGTCTTTTTCTAAAATTAAGTTTCACATGCACTTATACAGTATATGCTATATTTGACTGATACCAACTAAAATATTCATATGTGTATATAATCAGATCTGAGCCAGCTCAATGGATGCTAAGACAGGACCTCAAAGGGAGAGAGCTCTGCTAGTTCTTGACAACAGAATTTTGGTTATGATGAATGCACATTTTTGACAGGTAGACAGATGATAGTCCTTAAAGTGCTTAGAGTGCTGCTTTTGGACCTCTGAAATACTGCAGTAGTAGATCTCTCCTCAAACTTGGAAACTTTCTTTTGTCCTACCAAACATCACTCTTCAGGATGGGCGCACACCTTGCTGGGGATATTTGATGCCAGCAGTCTTTCCTGCTCAGAGCAGGGAGCTGGACCCAACGATCTCACGAGGGCCCTTTCAGCCCTAAACTTCTGCAAATCTGTGATGCACGTGGCACTTTGAGCGGATTTGTGGGTTTTCTTTTGAAAAAAAGGCTTATTAAAAAGAGTGTGTGCTGGAAACAAATACTGTAGAGATAATGTGCTGGAGTTCTTAATTTCACGGAAGGTAAACATCGTTTTGGTTTTGTATCTCATCAGCAACCTATGATGGTTTTTTCCACTTCATTGCATGTTAATCCTTGACTCATCATAGTTCAGTTCTTGCTGGGTAATGATGAAAAACCCTTAACTTCATACGCACTCTTCTGTTGTTATACTCTAGTCACTGCAGGTTCTTTAGTGGATGTACTTAAAATTTTATTACGGTAATTAAACTGACAAATGCAGAACCTCAAAACACATCTATAATAGTGCAGGAGTTGATTTACTGAGCAGTTAACATAACTCTGCTGTTTATATAGCATCTTAAAAGGGGGAAGAACTGTGGTAATATGAACATTAAAATAACTCCTTGTTTGAGAGCCAAGTACTACTTCAACACACAATATAAGGCTTTGATTAAGATAATCCTGCACACGTAGTGCAGGGCTTGTTTCTTGTTTTCATATGGAAGTCCTTCCTGTTATACTGTGAGCTTACTAATATACCTAAGGAAGGATAACTTTCTCCATCCATTTTCTCTTAACAGACTCACTTTGCATCAGCGCTGACAGTAGTTTTTATTAACTCGAAGTCGTTATCATCCATCAAGATTGATGACACCCCAGTTGATGATCCTTCCTTGAAGGTTCTTGTTGCTAACAACAGTGATACTCTAAAACTACTGAAAATGAGCAGCTGTCCTCATGTGTCACCCGCTGGTGAGTAGTAAGTTTATTTAAAAAATAAAGTGGTAAACTAGTAACACTTCAATTTCTGAAACCTGTTTTCAGACACTGATAGATTATCTTCCTCCTTTAAATTTCTCATGCAGCATCTCTGTTTTGAGAATACTTTTTCAATACTGTCAGTTAATATATGGATATGCACTACTTGTGTCTCTTTACTCTGCGTATGCAGTTGTCATTTTGTGGATCGGTTAACTTAAAAACCACCAGTACCATACGAGATTAAGTATAAAGCCATGATAGGAATTAACAGATGATAATAAATAAATAGGTCATTGCAAAGGACTCCAACGTCCCTGGCACCCCATTGTGGATAGGTCTTGCACAGAAGTCTCTTTATTGCCTGTGACTGACACTTTATTTAGCTTTAATGAGCCCTTTAGGAGCCTTTTATTTTAAGTTAAGTTTTAAGTCTAATTTTGAAAATATATCAAATCTCCCCTTCCCCCACAGTAGCAGGTACTTTAAATCTACATTATTCAGGAGACCCGCTGCTCATTCTACAGCCTCTCCCTTGTCTGGGGTCTTGCCCCATTTTTTTCAGAACTGTCACTTCCCTTTCCATAGAAAGGGTGGGAGGAGGATCCAGGCCTACTGCCTCCTGGGGTTTCAGAGTACAGACCTTTTCGTAAGCAATTGAGAACGGTTCCTGCCTTCAATGTTTGGCAGTCTGCCTTCCCATCTTGCTGCTTCCTGTTTCACTGAAGCCTCTTTACCTGATTGCTCCTTCGTACTTGTGCAGCAAATTTTTAAAGCAGCTGTTGCCAGTGGCAGAGTGGATTAGGTTTAAATCAAATGTATTTAAATCACTGGCCAGGAAGCCTCGATTTAATCATTGTTTTCTACAAAAAGTGCATTCTTGTTTGATATTCTTTATTCATTTAACTTCTTGAAACTTTGCACTTTTAGAGAAAGGAAAGGGCTTGACTGTGTGTACCCAAACTTGCAGAGAGACAATGGGGCTGATGGGTGGGTAATCAGGTCTGTTATCTCTCATTTCCATATACTGCTGTTAAGGATGTTATATCTGGAGACAAACTCTCTATGCCTAAAGAAGGGTGTTTGTGCCCGAAAGCTTGCAAAGAACAATTTTTCCAACCATTTAGTTGGTCTAATAAAAAATATCACATGTATTGAAAAAATCATGACTGCCTATGAGCTGTAGAGACACACATCCACAGTTTGAGAACTGAAACTAAGCATCACAGAGATGCTTAATGGGATCTTCTAGACTGAGCACTGAGTCCCATTGGGCTAGGGTGGTTTTCTTTAGTCTTTACTAATCTGTAGAGGAGCCTGTGGGAACCCCATATGATTGGGCTCTTAATCTAGTCCGTGGCCTGTTGTGACCCATTTATAAAACTTCTAAAAAGGTTACATAAATATATTGTCTCAAATAGTATATAATTAGATGTTATAATCCCTAGTCTATGATAATATCTTTTGAGCTTTAACGTATCTTTATATAAAGATAGTTTTTAATTTGTTTGTTTGTTTTTTTTTAAAGCATCTTAAAAAAATTTAAAATACAATTAAATAAAGAAATCCATTATTATTTAAAAAAAAAATCCTTGATTTTTATCCACCCTGTCCAGTGGGTTGCTTGATCGCAGCTGGGGAAGTTAGTTAGGACCTTCATAATTTTTTTTTTTTTGGTGGAGGGAGTAAGAGCTGTTGTGTCTTTGTGTGCATGTATTTGAATATAGATATATTGATATATAGTGATATAGATAGAGAGCTACACACACTCCCATACCTACCCTCTAGTTCAGAAAGCAGCAAGAAATGCCATTGTGCTATTGATCTTGTATAAATGCCTAATAATAACAGTGGCAAATTCTGCATGTCTGCCTCTGGAAACTCCTTATTCTCTGTCTCTCTGAGACTGTCTGTCTGTCTCTCTCTCTCTCTCTCACTTTGGATTAATTCCAGTGCAGCCAGTGGCTGGGTCAGCATTTACACATGTGTTGCTGCTTACATTTACACACGTGTTCCTGCTTACAAAAAAACAACTCTGCAGCAGGATAGTACATGTATTTACAAGATAGTACATGTATTTACAAGTACAACCTACTGCAGTTTATTAGTTTGCTGTGGCCTAATATGGGGACACACAGATGCTGAGACATTTACTGCACAGTTAATTAGGCAGCTCTGCATTAAACGTCTCATGTAGATAGGCCCACTGTATCCTTAAATTATAGGATTCTTATTGTGAATTTTAACAGTAAACATTTAATAGTAAACATCAGGTTTTGTAGGTCACGGGTGCAGTTTAACTTTTTCAGATGTGCAAACACCATTATTAAACATAGGATGCTGCAGCTTCTGCAGTCCAAGGTCTTCTCCCAGTTACATGCAGCTCATTATCTCGAGATATGCCTTATTAGCACTTGTTCATTGTCCTTGCCTTCAGTCACTACAGATTTGATTGAATGAAAGTTAGTAAATGGTTCTTTTACAGTTCTCTCTAAATTTGAGTTCAGTTTGTTGTTTGAGGTGCCTGGCACTTTGGGTTAACAAAAGTAAAAAGCAAGCAAGGGAAATGAAATCTAAAATAAGAAGCTTCTGTATTTCCTTAGGAAATTTTCAAAGTAGAAGTCTGGTTTTGCACTAAATTTAGAGGCTGTTTAGGTGTGAATTTGAGAGCTTTCCACATTATGATGTGCCCCAAGAACACTTTCTCTACTCTTTGTGAATAGTTTAATATTTCTGTGATCATGGTTCATGCCTTGGGGTTTCTACCTTCTCATGTAATGACACCCTTGGATGGGGTAGGCTAACTTCCATTCTGAATTAGTAGAGTAAGATGTTGGTAAATGTTTGCAACTGTTGGGCTTGTTATGGAAAAGAACAGTGGCTTCCAACCTTTTTTTGCTGTGACCGTAAATCTTGGTTGTTACAGCCACCCCTGCCACCAACTCACTCCTCATGCCCAGTGGTGCAAACAGAGCCCGAGCCAGGCCGAAATCACGGGGCACAGCACTGGTGAGAGCCCTGCATGGAGGAAGGGCAGAGTGAGGGGCAGACGCCCCATGACTCTGATTTGGGTTGCAACCTGAGGTTGGGAGCCACTGGAATAGAATATTGAGAATGTTTTGGGACTGATTATTTGCCTAAAGCAAGAACAGCTCGCTGAAGGCAATGTGTCCTAATCACTGGTCAGTAAGTCGGGGTGGGAGGGGGAATCCACTAACAGGCCATCAAAATCATTTCTAAAAAGTTTAAGCCTGGCAGAAGCAGCAGACAAAGCCATAGATGCAGAGATGACATGGATTCCAGAAGCATGTGGCTCTTGGTGATGTGGAATCTGAGCCAAATCCAAAAAAAAATAACTTGCACAGGCATTAGGGTTCTATTATGAGATGTGGGTTTGCTAAATTGAATAATAAATACCACAATGTACCGGTTTAGTATTTGGGTAGTACATTTTACAATAAACGAATATAGAAGAATAATATGAAGAATTGATATTTAAATGTTTTGGGACTGGTGTGTGTGTGTGTGTGTGTGTGTGTGTGTGTGTATTTATTTATTTTTATTTTTATAATTATTTATGTATTTATTTTTTTCCCCCAAGGAATATAAACATGCCTATTTCAATTTTCCCTTTTTGTCTTAGGAATTCTGTGTGTTGCAGACCAGTGCCACGGCCTTAGGGAGCTGGCTTTGAACTATTACATATTAAGTGATGAACTGCTGCTCGCTCTTTCAAGTGAGAAACATGTTAACCTTGAGCATCTGCGCATAGACGTCGTGAGCGAAAATCCTGGACAGGTTGAATTTCATACCATTAAAAAACAAAGCTGGGATGCACTTGTAAAGCATTCTCCCAAAGTCAATATTGTGATGTATTTTTTCCTGTATGAGGAAGAATTTGATGCGTTTTTCAGAGAGGAAACCCCTGTTACACACCTTTATTTTGGTCGCGCAGTAAGCAAAGCCATGCTAGGTCGTATTGGCATGAACTGTCCAAGATTAATTGAATTAGTGGTATGCGCTAATGGACTTCAACCTTTAGATGATGAACTCATTTGTATTGCCGAACGCTGTAAAAACCTAACAGCCATGGGGCTTGGGGAATGTGAGGTAACCTGCAGAGGCTTTATTGAGTTTGTAAAGATGTGTGGAGGCAGGCTTACCCAACTTTCTATCATGGAAGAAGTACTAATTCCAGACAATGATTACAACCTGGACCAAATTCATTCTGAAGTCTCCAAACACCTGGGAAGAATGTGGTTCCCAGATATGATGCCCACATGGTAAATTATAGAAGCAGACAGAACGGATTGGATCAGGATACAAATAAGGAACTCTAAAAATGGAACATCAAATATTCCATTTCAGTTGAAATGAGGAACTACGTGGGGAGAAAAATAAAGCACAAAAGAGCAATGATGGAAAATGACACTTCTGTTTTCTAACTAGAATAACAGCAAGCACCCTGAAAGTATTTCTGGGTTACGAGTGCTTCATCTACCTGGTGGACTAAGCTCTAATTTCTGTGACACAGGAACAGAATGACCAAATTTATGTAGAAGCCTTTTGCATGTGTTTACTGTTAGTCTTTCTGGGGTGATTAATCAGACTGTTCAGAACTTGAGTATGTGAGCAAATACTGCAGGCTGGGATGTTAAACAAATTCCTGAATACTCCAGAAAGGGGCAGTGGTTATCCCCGTACTTTCCACACTTGTTCATTATTTCTTCTGAAGCATGTAGCAACAAATGCTTGTCATAACAGCATCCTAGAAGAGCATACCTATTTCAGCCTATTTTAACATCTTGCATATATGTGTTTATTGTCGTAAACTCTGGGTTAATACTACAGAAAAGTTAGATTTTAAATTGCACTGTTCCACTTTTTTATTTATAACAGTAAGTTATTCTATAAATGCCATGCTGTATATTTCATTTCTTTTTTTCTTACGTATTTATTAACCTTTTTTTGGTAATGTGTGTGTATATACTTTTTGTTAAAATTGGTGTACCTAAGCGTTCATAATAGTTTAATTCTTAGACTGGCAGAGAAGCACTTTGGAAACTCCCAGAACCTAAAGAATAGTAACGAGAGCACAGTTAGTGCCTTAAACTTGTTGTGAAAGACAAGTTTTCTAACTTACAGACTAAACTCACTGGAGTTTGGCCCCCATTCATGCTGCCTGGGGACTTTCCCTGCCTGGCATAGAGATGGTTATACCATCCCTGCCACTGGTGTGGAAGCATGCTGGTGAGGAGGGAAGGATGTATTTGGAGTATATCTGGCCTCCTAGGTTTAATATGTGTAACTTTTTGTTACATGTCGGCACTAAATGGTTTCTAAGGGAAAAGGAGATTGTACCCTTCATTTGGGAAAGGGTGAGGGGGTTAGTACAAAATAGATCATGTATTTTTGTGATCATTGTTTTACCCTGGTTGTTTGAATGTGAATCGTAGTGCATTGTATGATATGCACCTACAATTCTTACCAGTTGTTCCTCCTTCCGGTTTGTAACAACAGGGAGATTTGTATAGTGTGTTTATCAGTATTATGTTTGTTACATCAAACCAGAATCTAAGTAGAGCCACTTCCCCAGTTAAGCTAAATTCTCTATTGCAAAACTAACCTTAGTTTAGGTATCAGCTAAATCCTTTGTTCTCTAGGATGCAATAGTTTTAGGATCTGTACACAATGTTAAAGTAAAGGAGATAATTAAGACAACACCTAGTATATTTGTTTTGAATTGATGAATAATGTCTTTACCTATTGCACGAGAAAAATACTGTAAAAGGCTCTGCTTGTTAGTCAGATGCTTACCATCTACTTTTGAACAAAAAAACTAGGTTACAATATTTGCTTTTTTTTTTTTTTTTAAGGATGTGTGTGTTTAAACTGTAAATTTAATAAATCAATCAAACAAGTTTTGATATTTTTACAAGTTGTTTTTAATGTTGGGATGGCAGGGGGGTGTGCACATGCATGTGTGCAATGGTGTGTAGAAGGAAACTTCACTTGTGTGACTTGTGAGTTAACAGTATCTGGTGAGAATGGGGTGTATAATTCCCAGTGATTATTCTTAAAATGAAAACTAAGTTTTGTTTAGGTTTTTCTTTTTTTTTAAAGGATGAGATGAGAATGGGATGAGCAGACTTTCAAATTGTAGGATTTTAGTTGATCTCTGCTTCCTCTCAAACTTAGTCATAGTGCCGTCTCTCAAAAAAGAAATGAACCAAAAAAGTGCTAGTCCCCCATCCCCCCAAGCCTTAAAGTGAAACTTGCCCAACTTGCACCTTATCGCCTCACTCTCTTGTTAATTTATTTAGTGTATAGTGACTTGTGATAGCAAAGGACACTTCTTTGTTGTTTTTTTTGAGGGGGGTGGGGTGGCTAGCAGCTGAGTTCCACTTTTTCCTATATCTTTTTAGTATGTTCAAACAAAAGTGACTAGAATCTCTCAAGAATCATGTTATCTTAGGCCATACGGACTAGATCCGTTATGATCAAGATTTATATCTAATTTTTTTTTCTGACTGCTTGAATAGCTTGGGCAAAAACACGTGGTTTGTAATGACTACGTATTTTTAAAATTAAAAATAGGCTGATTCTAGCATAAGAATCTATTTTTGGCCAGGATTGATTTTTCCAGTTGCTTTGAACACTAAAGATAAGTAACTTAACCGCCATGCTTTATTTTAGGTTTATGTATAAATAATCCTATTTTCCCGAGAAGTTCCATATGGCATCTTTTTCTCTGAAACACATTCTTCCTGGATGTAACGGATGGTGATGGCCCACTGCAGGGTGTACTGCGTAAGCTGTTGAGGACTGCATGTCTGAGATCCCCCTATAGCTCTCTAAAGGATGCTAAGAGGTGCAGTGTATGGATCCAGGTTCAGAGAGAGTAGATCTGAGTGAGAGGTGTTGGATGCCTCTGAACTGCTTTCCTGGAGTCTTACTCTAGTGAAGCTATTTTGAGAGCTCTAAAGTATTGTCATATAAGACTTTAAATTTGGGAGTTTCTGCATTTTAAAGACTTCTTTTAAGATAACACCTTGAACAATGCTCGATTATAATATAATCAGGCCATCTTCTTTTAGGGCATGACACATTCAACTTGGTTGACACATTCAACTTGGTTTTCTCTGCGTATAACTTGTTAAAGTATAAATATTGAACTTTGTATGGTTTTATTAATAATAAAACTGGGATTAGCAAAGAATGAACAAACTTTTTAAAGTACAGCTTTACAAACTGGATCATAAACTCCATTTGTTCAGTTAGGCCATAGGTCCATATAGCCCAGTATCCTATCACATAGTAGTAAGGTGCAGATGCTGAGAAGGAGTCTGAACGTGGCGCGTCCAGATTTTTTCACGCACTGCTTTCTCATCGCACCTCCTAGTAGTCGTAGGTTTAGGAATGTAGTTTGAGAAGTAAAGGTTGAAAGGCAGGCTTGTGCCTATCTGGCATCATCAATCATCTGCTTTTTCTGTTTTAAGGAGTAGAATTTGATTATTATTGAAGTATGATGTTTTGACTGGGAAACCCCTCCATAGTTATGTGCTACACTTGCATTCTTGCAGGTCCTTTTTAGTAGTGGGAAGATAAAGTTGGTTCTCAGTGGTGGCAGATAACAGAACAAGGAGCGGTGATCTCAAGTTACAGCAAGGCAAGTTTAGGTTAAATACTAAGTAAAATTCCACACTAGGAGAGTAGTAAAGCACAGGTTAACTTGGACAGGTTGTGGAGTCTCCATCCTTGGAGGTTCTTAAGACTTGGCTAGACAAAGCCTTAGCTGGGGTGATATAATTGGGTCTGGTCATGCTTTGAGCAGAGAGTTGGACTAGATGTGATCTTCTGAGGTCCCTTCCAATACTAATTTTCTTTGATTTTTTTCGGTAATGTCTTCATTGGAGCTTTCTATTTACAGCTAGTGCTACACCTTGTTGTAGTACTGGATTTATACTTCTGAGAGAATGGTCCCAGAAGTCCACTAATGTTACAGGATTTTTTAGGAACTTCACTTAAAATAAGAACATAAAGCAAAGTTACCTTACGGTTCTGATAAGGGACGAGTTATTCCAATCAGCTCAACGAGTTTGGTAGCTCAATTGATGTCTCACCCAGCGCCACAGAAAATGTTTCCCTCTTAGTTGCCATTTCCTTAACTTTTTACCTCTGTTTAGGTAAAAATGCTCACTTTTATGTCAGGGTCTCTAGAGAGTTTTGCTACAGGGATGTTTTAGCAAAATTAGCTACCCTCCACTTTTCTTTTTATCCCTCGTACAGCAAGACCTTTTAGTTCATTTGAAATGACTGGACCCTCAGGGCAGACAGAAAATCAGAACATGCTGCCAGAACAATGGTGGGGAGGTAATATTTTTCATATTTCAGATTTTTCCTGAGTCCATGTAGATGCACCTTCTCTACTGCAAACGTGATGCTTTACTATGCAGTACACCAATGTGTACTGCTCAGTAAGGTGTCACTATCTAACTGTGCGCAGCAGCTGTAAAATAAGCTAATGAGCAGTTTCCTACTACCTGTAAATACAGGGAATAGATGTAGCGTGCAGTAGCACATACGTAGATGCTGACAGGAAGTAAATTTGTTCCCAGTCAGCCAGAGCAGCAGGGGCCCAGTCTCATGCCTGGGGCAGAGCAACATGGCTAAAAGTCCCTCCAGCTGCAGGACAGAGATGGCTCTTCAGCTGGCCTCCTGTCCACCCAGGGCTAGCTGCTCCCTGGAGGGGGCCACTGCCTGTGTGATCAGTTGTCAGGCCTCCACACCCCAGGACCCTGCAGGCAGCTGAACCACATCACTGCTGCCAGGCTCAGAGCCCAGCAGCTGGGACTGCCTCCTGCACCCCTCTGGTAAGCCCTGAGCAGGGGGGAGGAAGGGGGCACCGCAGCCACCTCTGCCCCCAGGCTGTATGTCAGGGGCTCCCTGACATGTTGGCCAGTCGGGGGCGCCCTCTCCCCTTCCCCCTGCCTTACATGTGAAACTCCCCTCCTGCCCACGATCATCATCCCCTGCCCCTGGCATGCAGGCAGTTGGAAGGCAGTGCAGGAATTTGAGCAGCCGTGTCCTTCTAGCCAGGCAGCCAGGGGCCCGTCACATGCTGCGGGGGTCAGGGACTTGTAGCATAGGCAGAGGTACCTCTCCATGCAGCAGCATACATTGCAAGGAAGTGCAGGGCTACCTGGGGCGCCATCAAAGCTCAGGACCTTGCACCAGGTGCTTAGCTGTGCCTGGGGCATCCTGGTGATCAGCAACAGCAGGGCGTTGTGAGTCGGGGCCCCCTCAATGCACTTAAACAGCTTGTCACTGCATGATCATGGGACTCTCAGCAGGGGCACATTTGGGCCACAGGCCTTGTGTGGTGGGGGCCCTGGCCCTGGGCTGCCTCTCTGAAGAGGACTGCTGGGGGAGGGTGGAGGTGTCACCAGCTTTGTGTCCCAGCTGGGACACACACTTGCACACAAACACACATTTACCTGCCTGCAGCTGCTGGGAAAGCAGAGGCAGAGCAAAATCCCAGACATTTGCTGATATTTTAAAAAACTGCCTGGATGGAGATGGAAGGACCCAAAAAGAGGACATGCCCGTAAAATCCCACGTGTATGGTAACCCTAGCCTGACCTATAGAGAAGGGATGAGGTCGAGCTGCCAGAGCAGCTGCCAGCCCTGGCCCGGCCTGGAGAGGGGACAGGGAAGGGAGCAGGGACAGAGGGCTCAGCCAGCATCTGCCCATGGCAGGGCCCACCCAGCCTACTTACCTTGTGCAACCATGCATGTTCAACCCCCAGACTGACATCATCTCTGAAATGTTGCAAACTCTCACAAAGAGCATCCCTGTTCTTGCTCTGCAGGTCCAGCAGCTGCATGTTGGGGAGAAACAGTAGCTGCCAACACAGATGCTCTGGCAAGGAT